CACAGCAGAAGCAAATGCAATACTAACAGCTCTTAAATATATATTAATAGACACCCCAAATATAAACAATATATCATATTTTCAGACTCTCTTTCTTGTCTTCAGGCTATTAAAAATCATTCTTCCAAACATCCACTTTTAATAGAGAAATTTTGACTTGTATAATGAGCTTGCTTCTGGTCGATACGACTTTTGTTGGTTACCTAGCCATGTTGGCATTTCTGGGAACACCATGGCTGATCTTGCTGCTAAAGAAGTGGGACACCCAAGTAGGTATTAATACATTTCATGAAATAAAACCCCATATCGGTTAAACCTACATGAGTTGTCAGTCCAGATTTAAAGAGGTCATCATACGACGATGTCGTATTGGCCACACAAGATACACTCATACATACCTATTGAAAGGTGAGGATCCTCCGTTTTGCATCCCTTGTGATGAAAGAATCACAGTCAAGCTTGACTGTGTTGAATATTCCATCACAAGGGATAACTATTTTAAATCACGAACTATGAAGAATCTTTTAATAATGTCAGTTCTCATTTAATTATTGCTTTTAAAAAGAGTTATATTTGTGTAAATGATTTGTAAATAGCTAAATATCTTATGACTTGAAGTTTGAATTAGTAACTTAGATTGTTAGTGGCCCTCGAGGGGGGTTAAAGTACTGTAAAATTATTGTCCCATTGAGAGGGTACGTAAGTCCCGAAACATTCAAAGTAAATTTCCAACTTTCCGTTTTTAATCGTAGAATATGTGTAATTTTAATGTATGGCTAGATGTATCTAAATTGCTGACAGCTGAAGGGATGGTGCAAATCCAGCTAGGACCCATGTAGTAAGCAATATGTACTGTAAGTCCCCATGGTCCCTAGCATGGTGATCTACCTTCAGTTGTTGGCGATCTAGAGCCTGTTTTTATTTTGTATTGTCATTTATAGGTAAAATATTTTTGATTTAATTACTAGTCTTAAATTTAATCTGGTTATTTTACTGTCCTTCGTTGACAGGTGTTTTATAAAGTAATTGTGTTTATTGTTAATTTATAATTTATAATAAGTCACAATATGGCTGCCATATTGCCGATTTGACTATACATTTTAACTCACTCACTTGGGTGATAACCAAACCAACGGGCACGCATTGGTGCCGACAGACCAACAAACAGGAGGCACACATGTGAAAGGCAACAACAAATTATGGCTCTTTAGACCATCAAACTGACCAGTGGTTGAGCCGCTATAACTGGTGGTTCCTTATTTCAAAGCCCTTGTTCCCTATAACGTTATGCCACTTACCTGAGCTTGTTGAAGATGAGATGACAAGTTCCGTAGATTCTGGTACTTATATAAGCCTGGTCTTCTGACGCCACCTGTTGTGGAAGATTTATTTCCCCAGAAACATCCGGCACAGTCTGGCCCCATTCTGCGTCGTTCCTGGTACACCATGTGTAGATGTACATCCGTCAGCGTGGTGATTCGCTGATTTATGTGTGCTGGAATGGACATGGTCTTATCTTGCCATCCGTTTAACCAAGATTACACACATTCGTTTTGATAAAGTAGGCAGGGGTTGAAACTATATTCTACAAATTCCACAAAACTGTCTCCACACAGATTTCAAAAAATCATAATCTGGATCTCGTTCCACAAAGCGATACTATCGTTACGACTACATTAAGTATGGGAGTTACGATCACCTTAACGCTACGATCATTGCAAGTCTATGTTTGAGTATAGGAGGTACGATCATTTTCAGTTATATCACAGCATTGTTTTATGTTTTATTCCTATCTCTGTAAACAGGGTTGTTCAATCACACATATATACACACCAATTTTGCATGACAAATAAGTTAATGCACAAAAAGAGAATTTAACACCATTTCGACACCTTATGAAACAATCAATTCGAGATTTCCTTAGAATGTGCGATATTTGGATGCGCGATATGCGCAGTCAGTCTTTGAAATAAAACACCCTCCTGGGCACATGTACATCTCACACCTAGCCCAGTGTGATCAATGGACTGTATATATGGAAAGCAAAATACACTTGAAAGTCGTGGCTGTTTAACTCCAATACACAAGACCAGCGGATGGGACACAACGACTTTTCGGCGCAAATTGTGGCAGGCTCTTTGCGGAAATTACGTAACTGAACGCGGAGATACACTTAACGTCATCGTTCCGCTCCGTGACCTCGTCTTTGCGAGCTACACTGGAAATACTCAACCGAATGATGAAATTGGAAATGAGGAGGAAGAAACCAGCTAAATCAACATGTGGATGACAACACAATAACTTGACAATCTCTCATGAACTCGTATGGCAATGCAATATCTGTTGAGACCATGATAATTTCAACAACGGAGAGAGTTACATGGATATACAACTTCTTTATTATGATGTAAGCGGCGTTCGGAGGTGTACCCCAGCAGGCAGCAGTGGGTTACCTGGGATAAGAGGACACACATGAATGAGCGTGCAGGGCAGGTTATTCCGTGTGTAATATGGTCCAAAGGTATTTTGGCTGCCCATAAAATTGACGCTGTGACTTCATTCATTCATTTATTTCAACATACATATTATCATCATCAATCTCATAAACATTATTTTGAAATACAACCATTAGGCAGTATTAGCACTACCATCAGGATAAAACATACATTGTTACAAAATATCCCATTATACACAATATCACAAGCATACATCATTATTCATGGTCCCACAAGGTGAGACACACCGTAAGCAAGTGGAGTCTCGACACCATCTTGCAGCAGTCTATCCTCGCGGTCTAGCCGTTCTTCAAGCTGGCGATATTTATTCTTCTTAGGTCTCACACAACCGCCACCCTGCAACTGCATCAATGTTATTTCTGTGTAGTTCTGTTGTGACCTTATCAGATTGATATGTCAACGAGATAAGTGATGTGTTCAGTTTAAACATAACATCAATCATTGATTTAATCACTTACTCGTATTAGTGTCAGTTCAGGTGAACTGTGTTCACGAGCTGAGCGCAGTGGTGAGGTGAACTGTGTTCACCAGCTCAGGGGTAACTAAAAAAGTGTTGTTTGAAGAGATAAGAATGGTTCAGTGAGCTGAAACCTTTAAACAATATCTGCTGGCAAACTGGGACACCCCGTTTCGGCGTAGCTGCTAAAACCGTTATCATGCAGTGAGTGAGTGAGTTTTACGCCGCACTCAGCAATATTCCAGCTGTATGGCGGCGTCATCACGCAAGTGATGTCTACTGGAAATAGTCCCGTAAGTTAGACCTTTGGGTCGAGGTAACAATCCTTGGATGTTTGATGTTGTGACGACGGTGTTGTTTTAAGGGAATAGGACACTAGCTTTCCACCAAATGTAAAATGTGTTAACTCAGTTCACTCAGGAAACGAAATAAAACACGTGTACCAGAATGTGAGTGAATTTGCCAGTTATGGCAAATGCACAATTAGACTTCAAAGTTTTCTCTACATTTCGTGGTGGAAGATACCTTTGTGTAAATGGTTATATGTTCATAGTGAAAAGAAGAAAAGGGGAGAATGGATCTCGTGAAAATGCATGCAGAAAGACTGCATACAGATCAACACTCTCAACTGTCTTACGACATAGTTTCTAAAATACCAAGAGACCACAACCACGGACCTGTACATAACGAAGTCAATCTTTTCGGCTGTAGCCAAAATATTGACAATTATTAAAAAGTTAAAAGGTAAAAGCAAACTCAATCTTGAATATATTGTGTATTCCTCATTGCCTAATGTAAAGACTACATATTATTATTATTATGGATATTTTAATGTATAGTTTAAACTTGTTTTCTTCAAAGTTATCATGACGGGATTGGCAAACAAGCATAAATATGTATGTCAATGCTGCTCCATAACACTATCCACAAGGGCAATATTGAAAAAATAATGCATGCATCTTACTGTCTGGTGTCCTCCGATCAGTTAGACGTCCCATTTGTAAGACACGTTAAATCAACAAAGTTATGGTTGGATGCACTCACGTTCACTGCACTGTTACCTTTATTGGGTAATGGATTGATCCAAAGTTATGTGCATAAGAGCATATTAAGCGATATAATTAATAGGGCCGTAATGATGCATTAAAATATCGATGAATTGCAATGATTCTGAAAGCAATTAATCGATGGTAGAAATGAAAAATATGGATGCATCGATAGTATGTTTGACTATGCAAACTTGCAGCTTCATTGAGTTTATGGTTTAACTGTTTACTCGATCTTGGTTACAAGTTTCTTGTCAGTTATTGATAGGGGAGTAGAGGAAGCCCAACAGCCAGTCGTATCCAACTCTGTACCTCTGGGAGTAACTCAATTAGTTACATGGGAAATCTATAATCCTGTTTTGATCAAAGTGAACATTATTATGAACACAAAGTGGGAGAAGTCATGCTCCTGATTTGATCAAAGTGAACATTATGAACACAAACTGTGTGAAGCCGAAGTCAATAAACATTAGTATTCTGAGCAAGGTATTTCTGCATAAAAGTATGCTTGTCGTCAAGGGCGACTAACTGGATCGGGTGGTCAGTGTTGCTGACTTGGTTGAGACATGCCATCGTATTCCAATTGCTTGGATCGATGCTCATGCTTTGATCACTAAATTGTCTGTTTCAGACTCGATTATTTTAAAGTAGCGTGAATATTGCTGATTGCGACGTTAAGCAATAAACCAAGCAAACTGCTGTGAAGAAGCTCAGAGGTTATTATTCAAAGTTTCTATGTGTATTTTAGAAATATATTTGTTTTACAACACAGTAGGGGTCAGTATTCATGTGTCGGATCAAACATGTATTTTATAGGTGATTCAGTATAGCTAAACGCTACTGAACTAATGATGAATCTCGGCCACTTGAGTCAGGACCGGACAGAAGCCTGGTGCTAATGTTGGTGTTTGTTGTTGTAGTACGTCACGTGACTGATTGTGTTGATGTTATAACAGATATATACAACAGATGAGACACTGGTTAAAAGTGGCATAAACATGTTTATTAGAAATATATCTCTGTGTTCTGTGACTGTGTTCCACTCCCAGCTCCGGGAAACCTGGAAATACAACATAGACACGGATACAGATTCAGCATGATATGACGTCTATCTCATGTAAGCAGGCTTTATCACCCATTCGTCTGAGGTGTTGCACTGTGCTGTGCAAGTCTGTGTCCTTCACCTTGGACACGATTGGCTGTTAGAAGGTAAACCTTTCAAAACTTGCGCTGTTGCACTCACACCCTAAATATATCCGTTTCACCTATACATCGTGACTAAAAATTGCCACGAGAATATATAAACCAATATTTGACAGGAAACTTGATTGACTGGAAACGTACAGTCGCGTGTGTTTGCAGAATTACTAACTTACTCTAAGCTTGAGTTCATCACTTGCCAACCACAGCCCCGACTGCCTTGTTTGTCAAAGCCGTCACTACCGCCCCCTCCACATTGTGTCCGACCTGGTGTGCTGCGTTCTCCACCTCGTGTTTGAGATCACTCCAGAAGCCCCGTTTATCAGCGGAGTTCTCTCTGCCCAGTGCCCCGACTGCAGCGTTTGTCAAATCCGTCACTGCCGCCCCTGCACATTGTGTCCGACCTGGTGTGCTGCGTTCTCCACCTCGTGTTTGAGATCACTCCAGAAGCCCCGTTTATCAGCGGAGAGTTCTCTCTTGCCCAGTGCCCCGACTGCAGCGTTTGTCAAATCCGTCACTGCCGCCCCTGCACATTCCTCTAATGACAAGGATAGTCACCTCTAACGACAAGGATTGTCGCCTCTAACGACAAGGATAGTCGGCTCGAACGGGAAACTTAGTCGCCTCTGACGACGAACATAGTCACCTCTAACGACAAGCATACTCACCTCTAACGACGAGCATAGTCGACTCTAACAACGAGCATACTCACCTCTAACGACGAGCATATACGACTCTAGCGACAAGCATTGTCGACTCTGACGACGAGCACAGTCACCTCTAACGACAAACATACTCACCTCTAACAACGAGCACAGTCGCCTCTAACGACAAGCATAGTCAACTATAACGACGAGCATAGTCACTTCTAACGACAAGCATAGTCACCTCTAACAACGAGCATACTCACCTCTAACGACGAGCATACTCACCTCTAACGACGAGCATACTCACCTCTATCGACGAGCATACTCACCTCTAACGACGAGCATACTCACCTCTATCGACGAGCATACTCACCTCTAACGACGAGCATACTCACCTCTAACGACGAGCATACTCGACTCTAAAGACGAGCACAGTCAACTATAACGACAAGCATTGTCACCTATAACGACAAGCATAGTCACCTATAACGACATACTCGACTCTCTATCGACAATCATAGTCGCCTATAACGACAAGCATAGTCACCTATAACGACAAGCATAGTCACCTATAACGACAAGTATAGTCAACTATAACGACGACCATACTCACCTCTAACGACAAACATAGTCCCATCTAACAAAAGGATAGTCGCCTCTAACGACAAGCATAATAGCCTCTAACGACATGCATAGTCGCCCTCACGACAAGCATAGTCGCCTCTAATGAGAAGCATAGTCGCCTCTAACGACAAGCATAGTCGCCTCTAACGAGAAGCATAGTTGCCTCTAACGACAAGCATAGTCGCCTCTAACGACAAGCATAGTCGCCTCTAACGAGAAGCATAGTCGCCTCTCACGACAAGCATAGTCGGCTCTAACGACAAGCATAGTCGCCAATAACGACAAGCATAGTCGCCTCTAACGACAAGCATAGTCGCCAATAATGACAACCATAGTCGCCGCTAACGACAAGCATGGTCGCCTCTAACAACAAGCAAAGTTGCCGCTAACGACAAGCATAGTCGTCTCTAACGACAAGCGTAATCTCCTCTAACAACAAGCATAGTCGTCTCTTACGACAAGCATAGTCGCCTCTAACGAGAAGCATAGTCAACTCTAACGAAAGCATAGTCACCTCTAACGACAAGCACAGTCGCCTCTAACGACAAGCACAGTCGCCTCTAACGACAAGGATAGTCGCCGCTAACGAGAAACTTAGTCGTCTCTAACGACACGCGTAGTCACCTCTAACGACAAGCATGTTCGCCTCTAACGACATGCATAGTCGCCTCTAACCAGAGTGGTTTCTGAAGATTATCCCGGATCTTCAGGGGTCGACATACCCTCATTTGTAGAGGTTGTACACCGGTTTGAAATATGCATAATTGTTTGTTGTTCATCTCCGTAATCGGCTTCAGCTGAACAACAGTGGTCTGTAAAACGTCACGTCTGGACCAGACAAACCAGTGATCGATATTATGAGCAAGGTACCGCACCACTCCACAAGAAACCACACTTTGCTACTTGAGTTAATGGTGACTATAAGGATCCTATAGGTTTGGTGGATTTGTTTCATAGCGGTTATGATTCCCCGTCGGCGTTAAACGTTGTTCATTATATCAATCACTAGATTGGCTGACACAGGCTCGCACATATACAGCCCGACGCCATGTAAATGTTTGTTGTTTTGTTTAAAGCCGAACTCAGGAATATCCCAGATAAATGGCGGCGGTCTGTAAATAATCGAGTCTGGACCAGAGAAACCAGAGATCAATATCATGAGCATCGATTGAAGCAATTAGGATGCGATGGCATGTGCTGTGTATTGCTGTGGAGTGCTTGAAGAATGTCAGCGAGCCTGACCACCCGATCGCCTCTTGCGACAAGCATGGGTTGCTGAAGATCAATTCTAACCCAGGTCTTCATGGGTCATCATGTAAATGTAGCTGGAACAAAAACAGGAGGCCTAAGAACGATATCTTGAACTGCCATTAGAGTTGTTTCTGTAAAATCCCCAGGTAACAAACATCACATTACATGTTGGAAGGTATTTCACTGACTAGAGCTATCTACCCCAATTACAGGGAACCCATGGGTTCATGTACCCTCCATGTTTGTTTATGTCCCCTGAGCCCGAAGCCCATAGGATTCCAGGACGGAGCTTCTTCCGAGATTAACATGTCAACAGGTGCTCATTCTGTAGCTCCTGACACTACGTCCTCCTTGTAGGCCTGAACGAGCAATCTGACAAGGCGTAATAGGGGCGTTTGTGACTGGACTTTTCTGAGACTTTTCTTATCAAAGTCAAAGTCAAGTCGGGTTGAATATATAATGAATGGGGTGTTATACGAATATCATGTTCACTTGGGAGCCCTAAGGGGCGGTGGGGTAGCTTAGTGGTTAGAGCGTTCGCTCGTCACGCCGAAGACCCTGCTTCGATTCCCCACATGGGTACAATGCGTAAAGCCCATTTCTGGTGTCTCCCCGCCGTGAAAATCCGGGAATATTGCTAAAAGCGGCGTAAAACCATACTCACTCACTCACTCACTTGAGAGCCCACGCTTTTCATTTCCGAAGGAACAGAACATGACACAGAGTGCACATAGTCGATATACGCCGTCGTAGATACTCTAATACCTATAACGGGTATCAAGATATACAAAGAAGGCATTATACGCAAACCGGTTCGAGCAAGAGTTAGTCAGTGAGTGAGTTTAGTTTTACGCCGCACTCAGCAAAATTCCAGCTTTATGGCGGCGGTCTGTAAATAATCGAGTCTGGACCAGACAATCCAGTGATCAACAGCATGAGCATCGATCTGCGCAATTGGGAACCGATGACATGTTTCAACCAAGTCAGCGAGCCTGACCACCCGATCCCGAGTCGCCTCTTACGACAAGCATGGGTTACTGAAGATCAATATTCTAACCCGGACCTTCACGGGTCTGACGCAGAGTGCACAACAACATGGGTAAATGTGCACCCTTCACAATCACATCCTCTTTTAATGATCTGATGACGAACTACAGGTGAGTGAGTATGGTTTACGCCGCTTTTAGCAATATTCCAGCAATATCACGGCGGGGACACCAGAAATGGGCTTCACACATTGTGCCAATGTGGGATTCGAATCCGGGTCTTCGGCGTGACGAGCGAACGCTTTAACCACTAGGCTACCCCACTGCCCCGATGAGGAACTACAAGAGTGGCCGCTAAAATACGGTGTGTAGAGTTGTCGCCCTTAATTGTAAGGGATTTGCTGACCGTAGGGTCGATTTCCAGGTTCTAATTATCTTCATGTCGGCATTATAGATGTGCATGTGGTTTGTAAGGGTTATCTTGTGAGATTGTAGTACACTGTGTGAAACAGATTCTCTGTTTATATTTTAAAGGGTCACTGGTCGCCCAGTTGGATATAGCAAGACAACTAGAGTTGTGTCCGTGTTGACTTGTGTCTCAGGCGTGTTCTTGCAAACCATAAACAATGTAATGTGTGTGTGTGTGTGTGTGTGTGTGTGTGTGTGTGTTTGTTGTCGTGTGTGTGTTGATTTTAAGGGTTTATCTTTCTTTCTTTCTTTCTTCGTGTGTGTGTTGATTTTAAGGGTTTATCTTTCTTTCTTTCTTTCTTGTGTGTGTGTGTGTGTGCGTGCCTGCTTGAAAACATTCCAATGACACAAACTTAGTAGCATAGCATTTTATTGATCAAATACATCATAATCAGCATCTTATATATCTATACGGTAAACTATATCGTCACATCCGAGTAAATGGTAGAACCTCAATACAAAAGGTTCCTGGAGTTTCACACACACTCATGTTTCATAATTTATTTTCACTTATATAAAAATGCTTGTAATAAAGGCTATTTCTGGCAAGCTTGTGTTGAAAGCGCTTTGGGTTCGAAATGTTGAAGTGTCGAGATGTTGAAGTGTCGTCGAAGTGTCGCAACTAGGTCAGCACATCAGGGCGGCACATGGACACGGTGAACTGTGAAGAAAGAGAACATATATTCTAGTGGATTATACAGCCAGGTGTGTACATATACACTGTCTAGTGAATGATGTATCTTTCATTGTATATTAGTGTGTTTATGTGTTTCAGGATGGCAACTGTAACTGCTCCTCTCCCCGTACTCTCCCTCCTCCAACTATTACTGGTACTACTGTTGCCACTACCACTACTACTGCTGCTGCTGTTACTACTACTGCTGCTACCAGTACTACTACAACTACTAATACTACCACCACCATCACTACTACTTCTACTACTGCTGCTACCACCACCACTACTACTACTACTGCTGCTACTACTACTACTACTACTACTACTACTACTACTACTACTACTACTACTACTACTACTAACACTACTACTACCACCACCACCACTACTACTACTAACATACAACTACTGCTACTGCTGCTACTCCTACTACTACTCCACTACTACTACTACTACTGCTGCTGCTACTACTACTACCACCACCACCACCACTACTACTACTACCACTACTACTACTACTGCTGCTGCTACTACTACTGCTGCTACCACCACCACTACTACTACTACTACCACCACCACCACCACCACCACCACCACCACCACCACACAATTACTGCTAATACTACTACTACTGCTGCTGCTGCTGCTACTACTACTACTACTACTGCTACTACTACTACAACTACTACTACTACCACCACGACTTCTAGTACTAATGCTGATACTACAACTACCGCCACTACGTCTCGTACTGCGCCTCCGTGATGTAGTGGTTAGAGCGTCCGCCCGGAGAGCGGAAGGTCGCGGGTTCGATCCCCGACCGCGTCATACCAAAAGACGTTAAAATATGGTACGTGTTGGTCCCTGCCTGGTGCTCGGCATTAATGGGTACAACAAGGACTGGTCGGCTCGGAGTCAGTATAATGTGTCTGAGTGGGGCATTCATGCTTCACTGCGGTATGGTATCTCAGTGGGCTAGCACTATATAACCAGCTTCAGTCTGGGCTAGTACAAGCAGCCGCACATACACATCATCATCATATCATCATCATCATAATAATAATAATAATAATGTGTCCATTTATATAGCGCCAAACTCCACACTAGGTATGCTCATAGCGCTAACAATCAAGGCACAGCACATTATTACCCCGGATAACCCAAGCTGCCTGTTAGGCGCTAGAAGGTTATAGTCATATGACTTTTTCAACCGGGTACCCATTTTCCTGCTGGGTGAACAGAGACAATTTTGAACAAACTCACTTGCCTAAGGTGAGACCACATGTGTCACTTGTGCTTCGTTGTGGGGCAGGACTCAAGTCCTAGAAACTCTCAGGAGTCAAACTGCCAAACACGGTCACCCATCCAAGGACTCTCCGAGCTCGACGCTGCTTAACTTCACCGATTTGTGACCTGAGCTTTGAGCACAGGACCACACGCATGCACGTCGTCATATGAGCGAAATATTCTCAAGCACGACATTAAACCCAATTTAATTTCACCTCACCTCACCTCACTGCTGCTACTACTACTACTACTCCTACTTCACTACTACTACAACTACTACAAATGGGTACTATGTTTTACCATATGTCAACGAAGATCTCAGCTACCTACTCATCAATTGTATGTCGGAATGGAAAAAGCGAGATCAAACCACAATTATCAAAAATATATAAAGAATCTCACCCGAGTGTCTTTTGATATCAAATATATCACTACAAGTTGATAAAGTTACAAATAACCGAGGATATTGTTTATTTTTATCAACGAGTGTTGATATATTTGATATCAGAAGACACGAGGGTGAGATTCTATTTATCACTAAAATCACTCTTCATTAGTTTTCAGTGAAAAATGTACATCTTTGAACACGGTACTGCCATTAGACTTGCAGTGCAGCGATGTCATAACATTGTGACGTCATCAAGTTTATGATGTCATAGCATTGTGAGTCATGTAATTTATGACGTCAGGACATTGTACAAAAACTACTGTCATAGCGATATCTCCTAGGAGATGTCATTTGATCTCATACAAGCTCCTGTGGACCACAGTTTCGGATGATAAATAGTTTTCCGTCTCAGAAAACACGTTCTCCAGCTATTCTATTTGTGGTGTCTGTTACCAATGCATAAGTGAGTATGCGCCGCTTTTAGCAATAATCCAGCAATATCACCAGAAATGCGGGTCGCGGTGGGCGTGCTGGCTAAGGCGCCAGGCTTATGATCCAGCGAGATTGAGGAGCCGGGATCGAGCCCACCTTTGACCTGTGAAAACCTTAGAGTCAACTTTGTGTGCAGACTCTTTCCGTGTTGTCACAACCCCCAGTGTACAGTACACAGCCCTGCGCAATTAATAGAATCCACTAATCCGTTGGTATATGACCAGATGGTGGCCACATGAATACGTACAAACACCTAGTTGCGGGTACAGCAACGTGCAGTAAACTTGGACAAAGTACTGTGACTATGTGTCCCAGTCCACCCAGCTGTGAATGGGTACCTCGTTAGGATGAGAAAGCAACAATAACTCGGTGCGCCTAGTGGCAGCAAGAGTTGTATATATACTCCCAGGAGTGGATATGTGAGCTATATCAAAAATATACTATAATATAAAATAAATAATAATAAATAATAATAAATGGGCTTCACACAGTAAACCCATGTCGAGAATGGAACCCGGGTCTTTGCCATGACGAGCGAATGCTTTAAAGATAAGGCTACCCTACAACTCCCCCCAATATACGACTTGCCATGCTGGTTTCAATGAGGTGGTATATGCAGTAGTAACGCCTCCAGTAAGCCCCAGCTTGTTGGCGACGTACAGTGATTTTATGGCGTAGTATCAACCAGGATGGTTTGTGAAGCGGCCCTAAAAGTTAATGTGTGGAATAAGAAATTGTTTGAGAGCTTTACGAAAAGAGTGAGCGAGTTGGGTTTAAGCCGCTTTTGCAACATTCTAGCAATATCACGTTTGGGGGGCAGCTGAAATATCACGGCGGAAGACACCAGAAATGGACTTCACACATTGTCCCCATGTGGGGAATCGAACCCGGGCCTTCTGCGTGACGAACGATCGCTTTAAGCACCAGATTGACATGAAAGAAACAAGCTGCCGACTGTATCCTCACCTCGTCTAGTTCACCTGTAAAGTCGTCATAGCCTGTCCCCCGTCCCACCTGCATGGCGCAATGACTCCTGGCAATGTCACCTGGACCAAAAACAAAGTGATCATTAGATAATTACAATGTTTCTTATCATCACGGAGTTTTACCAGAGTCATTATATTCTGCACTGCATTTTAATTACTTTGTAGCAGTATGTATGTTCTGATAAATCTACTTAATCATATAATACAATTATTGATTGGAAAACATTTATTATATTTTTAATTCTTATTTTCTTTCGTTTTTGTTTCACACTGAATGCTTCAGATTTACTGGGTTGCTTCTTTTTCAGTAAGGAAATCGACATATAAGAAACATTGGTGGTTTGTCTGTGATTGAAATAGTTTACCTGGACAGGAAATGGTTCTCGTCTTGGCACCAACTGTGGCTGTCATGTAACCCCCGTCAACGGTCAGACTGCAGGCAGTCATTGACCGGCCCCTGGGACCCGCGACAAACTGGAAGAGGACAATACCATTCCATCACAATCAAAGATCAATTTTACATTTAGATTTTAACGCCGCCTTGAACAGTAGTAGAATGCTAAAATCGGCGTAAAACAAAACCTACTACAATGTAAGAACGCAGTGTACTTACTTGGTATGGCAGCGTGATGTTACAGTTTTGGGTATTTTTGGTCAATACAGTGAACTGAACCGTCGACGATGTCTGTGTGATGTAGATGCTCCCCTGTCGACCACAGTCTGCGTTGCTGACGATAGCCTGTGCTCTTTTGCTCTCTCCACCCCTCCGAAGTAAGAAGGATATTACAAGGGTGCTGCCGAAGTCAACGTTGGAGAAACGCAGAATTCGGAGGCCGGAGTCGCGAGTGAAGACGGCAACGCCGTCGGTGATGTTGACGCCCTCATTCTGTATGTGGATGTGGTTTCCGGAGTGGTCTTCGAGGTCATTGTCGCAAGGGAGGTACACTTCCGGTTGGCACACCGGATTAGCTGTAATGCAATACCATAATATACTAGTGATTGTCCTGTATCCGGGTTTGAAATGATAATGTCATACCTTAATTTGCATTCGTTGACTTAACAGGTTTACTGGTAATTTAAAGCATTTTGACGTCATACTGGTTGGTTTCGACAAGTCGACAACTTAATAAACACAAACTATAGTGGACTTGAACACGTGATCATGTTCAACTAGTTACTGTGAGTTGTTGCCTGGAGTGATTTTAATATTTGTAGAAAATAGTTTTCTCAGATTGACTCACCTGCACAGGTGCTACAGTGACTTTGGCCAGTACACAATCACACGGAAGACGGAACTCGGTTCCCGGAGGACAGGGTCTGTTCACCCAACCGTGACCACTCACGAACTCGTCGTAACGAGCCTTGTTTCCGGCGACCTCCCTACACTTGGAAGTAGTTGCTGCTGCTGCTGTTGTTGTTGTAGTCTCTGTAACGTGAAAGACTACATCAGAGTGGCTTCCTCACCGACACGCTGTTCATCATTATAGTCTGAACGTGGCACACCCTGAGACAATCCATATCATTTTGTAACCTCAGGCCAAACTCACCCAGCCAGAAAGAGGGAAGGCGAAAGTATAAAAGAAATATTTTCCACTGACTGAGTATCATTTCTTCGGAAGCGAATTTTCAGAAATATAGCTGAAGAAAGACCACACTGAGTGAGTGAGTGAGTGTGTTTAGTTTGATGCCGCTTTTAGAAAAGCTACTCAGTCTGGGGAAACTCTTTTGTTTTATATATCTCTCTTTCGGGTTGGGTGGGGGGGACTGTGAGGTAGCCTAGTGGTTTAAGCGTTCGCTCGTCACGCCGAAGACAAGGATTCGATTCCCCACGTGGGCACAATGTGTGAAGCTGGGGTAGTGATAAAAGCATAGTCACTCGCCACTCGTCTACCACCGCTTATAACACTTATTTTAAAATATTGAAATGTTGATAGATGTCAAAATGAGTAACATCCATATGTATTGTAAATACTACTACTACTACTAATAATAATAGTGCATTTATATAGCGCTATTCCCAAACATAAGGATGCTCAAAGCGCACAAACATGGTTTGATGATTATTAAGTTCTAGTAAGGATTTAAAGGATGACAACGTTTGAGAGTCTTTGAGTTCTTGGGGCAGATTATTCCACTCAGTTGCTGCGGCATATGCAAATGATCTGTGACCGTAGCGGACAGTGTTTGTATTTGGGACAACAAGGAGAGACTTGGTCTTGAACATGCTGAAATCTGTTGATCAGATTTGGGAGCGTTAATCAAGAGGCAGTTACAGTAATCAAGACGTGAGATGACGAGAGAGATAATGAGGGTTATAGTAGCACTGGTGGTAAGGTGTTTTCTGATACAACTGATGTTCCTTAGGATGAAAAAGCAAGTTCTGGAGATATTGCTGACGTGGGCCTCCATAGTTAGTTGGGAGTCAAATGTGACTCCAAGGTTCCTGGCTGAGCTGGCAAGAGGAAATACTTACCAGGAACGGAAACATCCACGGTGTCACAACGACACATGGAACCAACTGTTGTAGGCGCTACAACAATGGTGTGGACATCAGGAATATCTGACTTGTGAATCATATCGGTGAGAATGGCTTTACGTCGAGGTATTTAGTATATTTCTTAAATTGTGTTTGCTACCTCAAATGGATTACGTTTCTCATTCACGATTACTGCCTATCGTAATTTTATGAGGAGGTTGATTGTTTGTTTGTGTTTTGTTTAACGCCACACTCAGCAATATTCCAGCTATATGGTAGCGGTCTGTAAATAATCGAGTCTGGACCAGACAATCCAGTGATCAACATCATCACCATCAATTTACGCAATTGGGAAACGATGACATGTGTCAACCAAGTCAGCGAGCCTGACAATCCGATCCCGTTTGTCGCCTCTTACGACAAGCATGGGTTGCTGAAGATCAATATTCTAACCCGGATCTTCACGTGTCCGTCCAGCCCCCTACCCCCACCCAACCCAACCAAGTTTGTATAGAAGAGGAAGTCCGCATGACGACTTTCCCTTGCTTTAGGGGTAAACCCTTGACAAATCGGACACCCCTGATCGTCATGAGATTCTTCAGCAAGGCATTGGTTCCTGAAAGCCAATTCTAACCCAGATCTTCACGGGCCTAAGAAGAGGACAAGATTCGTGCACATATGGTAACAGGCATGTGAGATACTGAATAAACTGCAGGGACACCTTGGTGTAACTGCGCGGGTGGGTTTTGTAAGGGGGTGGGTTTTGTAAAGGGGTGGGTTTTGTAAGGGGAACGTAACTGAGTCAGGCCTCTCATGTTCTATATTCAGTAAAAGTGGGGATCGTAACCGGGTCTAATCCACGGAAAGCGGATCCTGACACAGTTAAGGGGCGCAAGCACTTGAACATCAAATTACCTGGAAATGAGAAACTGCATGAAACAGAACTTGCAAGTTGACAGCTGAGGAGGTTCTGATCCCAGAGCGTTCCAGGGGCACAAGGCATGATGTAATAAGTGTTCTTCAAACACTGTACGTATTTCGAACAGTCCAAGGGGTAAGGCATGTACCCGATACCGTTATCATAAACACAGCCATCACACAGGTCACCTGGAACTGAGGAACAAGCGCACCATACAAAAAGGTGAGAATTTAATTGGCGTTGATTGATAATGGCCACACTTAAACCCTTTACAAGACACACCGCTCACGAAAGTAATAAGTTCTTGCATGATCTGTTAATTTTTAACTATAGATGACTTTCACTTTGGGGATAAATGTTTTGGTTAGATCGTCACAATATACTTTTGTAAAATCCTTGAAGTTAATGATCACGACTTTTGGTCAGGGATGTAATCCTTAACATTATAGATACATGCTAGGTTGAATACAGAAGGACTGAATGTTGAATTACAAACAAGCGTGTGTTTGGATGTTGTTGTACTCCCCTGTTGGGAGTGCCAAGGTAGACCCGATATATTTCCAAGACCAGCTGTGTCCAGCCTCGATGACACATAATCAGATGACACAGATGCTACCAACTATTCATAGTTCACTCTCTCAACGGATGACTTCGAGCTGAATAGAACCTTACCTGGACAGCCAGCAGCGTCGCATGCCTCTGAAACCGTCTCTGTGTTCGAGCCTTGACAATCCAGTCCACTGTTACTGGGAGGTGGGTTGGTGCAGGTCCTGGTCCTAGTGATGGTTCTTGATCCCCCTCCACAAGATACGGAACACGGGGTTGAAGTTTCCTTCCATTCACTCCAGTTTCCGTTCACTGTAACAACATATTTTTCGCGTCATTGTCTAAAAGATAAACGTATGTTTATAATCCTTGATTAATGATGGTGTACGTCAATATTCATATGATTCAGTACATGTGTTTCGTCTTACATACATGGTGTCAAGCTGAATAGAACCTTACCTGGACATCCACCATCGTTGCATGCCTCGAAACCGTCTCTGTGTTCGAGCCTTGACAATCCAGTCCACCGTTACTGGGAGGTGGGTTGGTGCAGGTCCTGGTCCTAGTGATGGTTCTTGATCCCCTCCACAAGATACGGAACACGGGGTTGAAGTTTCCACCCATTCACTCCAGTTTCCGTTCACTGTAACAACATATTTTTCGCGTCATTGTCTAAAAGATAAACGTATGTTTATAATCCTTGATTAATGATGGTGTACGCCAATATTCATATGATTCAGTACATGTGTTTCGTCTTACATACATGGTGTCAAGCTGAATAGAACCTTACCTGGACATCCACCATCGTTGCATGCCTCTGAAACCGTCTCTGTGTTCGAGCCTTGACAATCCAGTCCACCGTTACTGGGAGGTGGGTTGGTGCAGGTCCTGGTCCTAGTGATGGTTCTTGATCCCCCTCCACAAGATACGGAACACGGGGTTGAAGTTTCCACCCATTCACTCCAGTTTCCGTTCACTGTAACAACATATTTTTCGCGTCATTGTCTAAAAGATAAACGTATGTTTATAATCCTTGATTAATGATGGTGTACGTCAATATTCATATGATTCAGTACATGTGTTTCGTCTTACATACATGGTGTCAAGCTGAATAGAACCTTACCTGGACATCCACCATCGTTGCATGCCTCTGAAACCGTCTCTGTGTTCGAGCCTTGACAATCCAGTCCACCGTTACTGGGAGGTGGGTTGGTGCAGGTCCTGGTCCTAGTGATGGTTCTTGATCCCCCTCCACAAGATACGGAACACGCAGTTGAAGTTTCCACCCATTCACTCCAGTTTCCGTTCACTGTAACAACATATTTTTCGCGTCATTGTCTAAAAGATAAACGTATGTTTATAATCCTTGATTAATGATGGTGTACGTCAATATTCATATGATTCAGTACATGTGTTTCGTCTTACATACATGGTGTCAAGCTGAATAGAACCTTACCTGGACATCCACCATCGTTGCATGCCTCTGAAACCGTCTCTGTGTTCGAGCCTTGACAATCCAGTCCACCGTTACTGGGAGGTGGGTTGGTGCAGGTCCTGGTCCTAGTGATGGTTCTTGATCCCCCTCCACAAGAAACGGAACAACTCCCGGTTGTAACATTCCACTCAGACCAATTACCGTCAACTGAAACAATATTCTTATTTACGTCTTTGTCTAAGAGCCAAATGTGTTATGGTTACATAACACATTGTCAACGTGTGGACTTGTAATTATATATTTCTGTAGGATATACCCTCAAAATACTGTTAAAGATTGTCTTACCGAAATTATCAAGCACAGTGTTTGTAAAATATTTTCGAATTTACTGAAAACTTGAAGTGGAAAGAGAGCGTTGTTGGTACTTACCTTTGCAGACTTTCTGAACAAGGGATAAAACGCTGTTTAGAAGTTCATCAAAATTCTTCAGCTCCAAGACATTTTCCGGCACAGAGGCGATGCCTTGAAGTTCTGTTTGGTTGATGGAATGTCCGACCCCGACAGCAAACATTTTGATACCTGCGTTTCTGGCAGCCGCTGCAGCTGTTTGGGTTTCTGCAGGCTTCTTAGATCGCCCGTCGGTTATGACGATGCCGACTTGAGGAACATCATCCCGGCCCTGTGTTCGCATCATCGAAGTCATACTCTGAATACCAAGGTGGGTGGCTGTCCCGTCCTTTGGGTGGACAAACCTAAGGATTTGTGACTTCAGCGTTTTTTGATTACTGGTAAGTGGGGCAGTTGCAGAAACAGTCGAGCTATACACAACAACCCCAAACATCGGTCCGGTACTTTTCAGACCGAGAGTTTCTGATATTTTTATTAGGACATCCTTTAGTTTGAGAAAATCGCCATCAATGATACTGTCGGACCCGTCAACAACGGCAACAACGTCGAGCAGGTTCTTGCACCCTTTGGAAAAAATATTCAGAAATATGAATGGATAGAACATTACTTCTCACGAATCATTTACATGGGTGCTCTGAAGGCTCCAGTCGTCATCGTTAATGGGACTGTTTAATATTTCTCCCTAAATTGGGCAACGCACGACTTTTACTTTTATCAAGATGTCCCCTCAAATATAAATAAACCGTTTTGGTAGCAGATAAATATCTCATGAACACCGGGTGTCATCGCTGATTTTCAGTGATCTATTCATATAATACCGACCTGTGGAATTTGTTTCGGCGCATAAGCCAGGTTTTGATATTACGCTATTTGTCTCTCATTTGAGACTGATCAAATTGATATTCCTAAGGTTTCAGTCTGTTCTGACACAGCAGCTTCCGGGAACAAAGGACTTTCGAGAACAAAAGACTAAAGACAATAGGAGCTAAAAGAGCACTAACATTCCATGGCATCTAAACGAATGAGAACTCACTTGGTGACATTCCTTGACACCCTCCATTGTTGATGAACAGTGCAAGGGACAACAGCAACACAGGAGTTGTCCACTTCATTGTTGCCATCATCGACATTGACAACACAATATGAAGTCAAGATGTTTTCGCTGAAAAAGTGAACAGCTACCTAAGAGAAAGTAAGAGAAAGTATGTCCTTCACACATTGTACCTATGTTGAGAATCAAACGTTGAGAAACGAACCCCAACCATTGGCGTGACGAGATAACACCTTATTCACTGGGCTACCCAACGTCATATTCGTGTGTGGATGTTACTCCTAGAGATGAACACCATGTCAAAAATACCAAGTTCTGTCGTGACCAGATTTAAACAGCAGTCAACAACAGCCAGTGAGCTTTCAAGATGGTTTTGTACTAGAATTGTATGCCTTTGTGTCCATGGCAAGGGAAGACTTGATCGTTCGAGAAATTTCTGGATTTGGCAATTTCTCGAGGCTTGCTGTCAATATATAGGAGCGACATATTTGTGATTTGAGGCTTACCTAGGCTCTACCTAGCTTACCTAGGCTCTACCTAACTTACCTAGGCTCTACCTAGCTTGCTCAAATTTACGAGGCAAATGTAGTTTTGATACATTTCGTTCATTGAGTTCTGGATGGTGTGCTGAATTCTGATTTATTCACACATAAACCACAGTGCTCACATACTCATATTCATGTTTCTCTATAAGTTTAAACGAGAATAATAAATGATAATATACAGAGTTTAAAATACTGTGCAGGTAATTCATGTTGATCGTCATTTTAGCCCAATATGTTATTGGAGGAGCTGTCTCAGAGTTTCATGTTAGCGTCAGGACCAATACCAACAACACTATCTACATCATGATCCTGAAGTTTTATCACAGGTTCAGTTAAATAGTTGTATATGTTACATAATGTCGCCTACCTGTGGTGAGATCTCTTCGTGAAGTGCTTCTTAAAGTCAGCTATGCCAAGACTGAAGACTCTGGTTGGGTTGGGATGGCGATGGATGGTCTATATATACCAATGTACACTCCCACATACTCTATCAATCAATTCCTTGAAGTCTTCACAATGACGTCATGTTCGCAACTCATTGGCGGCCTCTCTTTTCAACTCAGTGGTATTTTGTTACTGGTTACCATTACCAAATTATCATATATGATTGTTGACTTTTGTTAAAGTTGCTATTTTAAGACTGAAAGCCGGATTTGGAGAGTGGGTGCTGTTTTGTTGAGAAACTACTCAAGCGGGTAGATCCTTATTCACTGACGAGGAGGAGGGGAAATGGGCGGGGCTTCAACATGGGGAGGAGTTCAATTGTGTTCCATCTACCACGTACCCGGATATCTGTCGGACGAGGCACCGTCAATTGGCAGCTATCGTTATCACGTCATACATCAAAATACAGCTGTTGTTGTGCAGGTAGGTGTCCATGTAATCCTACACTGAACAAGGGCGCTAAGCCGTGGCGACATGCAAGCTAGGGAGGTAGCATTAACTATGTGATTGGGACCTTCATGCAAAGAACCAGTGATCATAGGTTCACATAGTTTACCGCAAGAATCAGTCACTAGGCTGAACAAGTAGAAGGCGGATTTATACAAAGGAACCATGAGACTCACTGATTTATTCACACATAAACCTCAATACTCATAAACTCAATATGTACGTTTCTCTGTAAGTTTAATAATAAATAAGAGAATAATAAATGTTGATAAACACAAATTCTGCAGGTAATTGATGTGGATCCCTGCGTCAATTTAGACTCATGCGTTATATGAGCTGTCTCAATGTTTTCACGTGAGCTTTAGGACCAATATCAAACACACTATCTTTATCATGATCCAGAAGGTTTATCCTCCAATGTCATGGTTATTTATAAACACATGCTATGGTTTCGGAATCGTTCTCGAAATCTGATCTGAGGAGGTATCTTTGATTATGGAAATGTCGATTGTATTTGCATAGACAATAATATGATACGTGTAGATGCTACTGAGTGGTGATAGTTCCCGAACTGATTCAGTAATGTCGTTCCAGATTGAGTTATGTCGAGATGTGTCACAGAACGAATCACGAAGAACGGATTTGTCCTTTAGTAGCATTTATTTAGGAAGTTATTTCGTGAATATGAAATTCGCGTTCAATAATTGTTTATATTTGTTGAAAATATTTCTCCACATGAATTAGTGAAAGTGAAAATATAGGCATCCACCCATCCATCCATTCAGACACACAGAGATAGACACGCGTGCGCACGCACACATGCACACACAGACAAACTCATATGCACACACCGACATTATTTGTTGTTTATACAGTACAACCAGAAATTATTAAGTTAAAGATTGTAATGTTTTATATTTTTTTCACTCATTACTCACGTATTAATGTGAATATTAGCAGAACATAACTCCAGATTCAAAGACAGGTGAACAGTTAGTATTTTGTCAAGTCACCATGGGCAGCAATGCAGGCTTCAACGGGGCGGGGCATACTACTGATCAAAGAAGTTAGAAAGTCGTGGTCCATGCTGTCCCAATATCGGACCACCTCTTCTTTCATTTCAGCAAACTTTGTCAGATTTTTCTTATTGACACTTTCCTTCATAAGTCCCCAAACATTTTCTATTGGATTTAGGTCAGGGCTATAGCTTGGCCAATATAATAATGTCATATTTTGGGTCCGAAACCAAGCCTGTGAATGCTTTGAACGATGTTTTGGGTCGTTGTCCTGCTGGAAGATAAATTTTTTTCCATAGAACACGTGAGCAGATGGAAGTAAATGTCCCTCGAGAATGTCTGTGTACTGCTCACTGTTCATATTCCCTTCAAATACACAGAGGGGCGTTGCCCCTAACACAGATATGCCACCCCACACGTTAAATTTTGGACTGTACTTTGGGCGCTGATACGAAGGTTTTTCAGTTTGTTTGGTCCAGAATTTCAGTGTATTAGGAAACAGCCACACAGAACTTTTATCTGAGCAAATCACATGGTCCCAGTTAAAATGTCTATGCTGTAAGCACCAGTTCAACCTTCGCTCCTTTTGTTCAGGTTTCATGATCGGTGATGGAACCGCGACTTTTCTGCCAACCCATTCATGCAACTCAGTTCTAATTGTCTCCTTACACGCAGCCACAGTTCCTCTATCAATCCAAAAGAGATCTATCAAGCCTTGAAAGTTTCAGACACTAAACTCCTTCGTTTGTTTTAGAAACTATGGAAGAATACTGTTTTGAAAGCCGCCTAAAATGAATGACTGTCACCGACAGTCAGAAGAAATGTTTTTTCTATGGCGTAGTCTAACTGCCATAATCCATGTGAAATCAACTATTTTTCAAAAACACGATAAACAGTGGACAAATGGATGCCTGAACACTACTTTAAATCACTTTAGCTGATCTGGGGATGTCAAATGCTTGTTATAATACTCTAATATCTCTATTGGTGGCAAAATGGGTTGAATAAAATCAACTTCTATATCAAAGGGCTCAAGTCAACAATATCTCTTCAGACTTCAGTACAGATGCACTAAATCATCCATACTGAGGATCACTAAAAATGCCAAATTTTTTAGCTTCTGGTCCTCCTTCTGCTATTTGTGCAAGTGAACAGCATGAGAAACAAAGGGGATAACTCTTCACAAACAAATGTAACACTTCATATACATGTTTAGTTTTTGACCGTTTTTATATACATGTGAACAAAAGGATTAACATGAAAAAGAAAAAGAAAAAATAAATATATTAAAAAAAAGTTGTCTTCTCTTGCCTACCTGCGCCTCCCTGGTGCTCAATGCCATAATACCAAACACGATAAACAGTGATATGCCTGTTCTACTAGAAATCACTTTAGCTGAAGGCCTTGTTCTAATACTCTAAAATCAACTTCCTCTTTTCTAAATCATCCATACTGAGGATTGAAAATACTAGAAAGTTGTCTCCTTGAATGAAACCAAACATTTGATAGCTGGTCAAGGTTGTTTATATTAGAAATCCAATTAAACATATTCCTAAAATTCTCAATAATTTCTGGTCATACTATAATTATTGTATGATGTTTGTATAGCACCAATATCCACCTCAGCTCAGCTGCTCAAAGGCGCTTTGTTTTTCCCTCGATCATAGGATGTCAATCTCAACGGCACATAGTATTTTTCAATTTCAACTCCCTGGGGATCATACAACTCTTGCAGCCATTTAGGCGCACCAAGTTAATTTGGCTTTCCCATCCTTATGAGGTACCCATTCACAGCTGGGAGGACTGGGACACAGTCACAGAGCTTTGTCCAAGTTTACTGCACGTTGCTGTACCCACAACTAGGTGTCTGCACGTATTCATGTGGCCACCATCTGGTCATTTACCAATGGATTCGTGGGTTCGTTAAAGTGCACAGGGTTGTGTACTGTACACTAGGGGTTGTGACAACACTGAAAGAGTCTGCACACAAAGTTGATTCCAAGGTTTTTACACCTGGTCACAGGTGGGCTCGATGCCGGCACCTTAAGCTCGCTGGATCACTAGCCTGGCGTTCATAGCGCCTACAACAGGCCCACACACGTGGACGCACACTCACATGCACAAACACGTGCACATTCACATGCACACACACGTGCACAACTCTCCCGCAACCCGGTTGTCTTGCACTTCCACTTAAGGTGTACTCGATCAACTATTATAATTACCCCAAACAAAACCACCCCCACCCCCCATCCCAACCCTCCTCCCCCGTCCTCAGACTTGACACTGAATGTAACATGTTTCTTGTCCCACCAGTGATTTGTAACAGTCATTGCGCACGACTTCCCAGAACAGCTCTGTGACAGCTAATTCTATTCACTTCATCCACAACAGCGTAACATCAGCCACGTCACAATGGTTGAAAAAAGCATGGCTTTTCCTGGGAAATGTCTGAACATTGCTTACGCATCTGTTGGGTTTCAGGTTTCGTTATTCACAGAAAGTATTCTTGCGTAATATGTAGTTGGCGTATCTTGACAAACTAACAATAACGAGCATGTCAACACTTATGAATATGAATAATGAAAACAGACTGATGGTTGTGTCAGTGACAAAACACGATGATAAACACGGCATATCTACAAACGCTCGAAATTGTTGCATATATCATTGATCATTTCAATGTCAAACTAAGATATGAATGTTTTCTACCCATTAAATGTCAACTATTTAAAGCTTGTTTTAGGTTTTAATATTCGTCACGAGACAAAAGTGGTGCAAGTGGTGCTAAAACAACACCGTGATCAATGACGTTGTTTTTACCATATGTTTGTCATGCCTGAACCACACAAGCAGCTCAATGGTCTAAAGGTATGTTGTACAGAGTTGCGTCCCTTAGGAACACAAGGAACCTGTGATCGTGTCGCTGTATGGTTCTCGATTTCAGCTCCATATCCGTGCTCGTGGGTTTCAAAGTTGTTAACTGTTAACGTCGGATACCGGGAATACTCCGGGTTTTCCTCCCAGATTTAACGTACAGGCCGGGCTATAACTGAAATACTGTTCAGTCAGCGTGAACTCTCTCTATTTCCTTTACCGGCAATTATTATAAAAAACTTTTTCTGTCAAAAACTTCCATTATCTACTCCAAGTCCATATATATGATATTATATGATAGATAAACGAGAATGGCTATATTAGACATTTTACATAATCGCTTCAAAATACCTCAAAAAACGCCATATTGACAATTCTGAGAAGTGACTCTAAACTTCATATTATTATATTAATATACATTTAATAACACAGTGTACTTTTGAAAGTGGTCAAACTTCTGTAAAGTTTAACGCCGTCATGTTCAGGATTACTAATTTCTAAGTAAAAGTATAAATTCAATATAATCGTAAAGTTTCAAGAGAGACCTAGTTTTTACTTCCGGCACAGCAACGCCGTCTTTGGCGATTTAATAAAACCATCAAATGCATTTAGCACATGTCCATCGATAGCACACAAGCGATAACATTGACGTGAAATTGTCCGGCCTCGATCACCCATTCTGTGATGAACCTTTATATATTATATAGTGG